AGCTAGTGTCTAGAAAGTAACTTGTACATTTGTAAATATTTTATAACAAATAAAGCTCATAAAATCAACGTTTTTCAAAAATATCTGTTTAGAAAAATTTATAAATGAAAATATTCATTTAATGAGTTTCGCATAATGCTAGTTCATTCATACTGCGTAAAAGTTATATTGCAAAATAGCGAATCTGCGACAAATAAACTAAATATCGTTTAGAATGTATGTACATATGTACTGTGCATAATATACTTAAATAAAACAAGTTTTTAAAATATGCTATAAAACTGAAACTTGTATTTACAAGCGTTGATTTGAATAAAAGAAAGTGAGTTGAAAGCGTAAATCAAATGGTAAACATACAAAATAGTTAAGCATGTGTAAGTTGCAAATAAACACATTATCAAATATTATTTAACCATAGCAATAAAGCAGAAAAATAATAAAGATATAGATATACATATGTATAATATATAAATAATAACTGGAATCAAAAATATTGCTAATAAAAATGAGAACAAAATTTACTGTTTTACTATAAATTCGTTTTAATTTCATACATAAATTCGTTACATTTCGCTGCCGCAAACTCATTTAACCAAGACATACACCAAGCATCAACATATTATAGACAGAGAACGTATATCATATACGATATCTGGAATCAGTTTAACGTACCAAGTGCAGGGTGGTCAAATTGAGGAAATAGTTTTTAATATATTAGAAAATAATAATACTTTATGTATCATAAACAAAAAATTCAAATTTATTTGTAGATTTATGCAATTCACACATTCTCTAAGAAATGCGATCAACAGTTAATATAAAACTAAGGAACTTCGCTTCAGTTAATTGTGAATTTCATAGTAGGAGCGCAGGTGTATGTAGATCCACGCTTAGCATGGCATGAAAAATGACGAAGCATTATGCTTGGTTGTACAAACGTCATATTAGTCAACCAAAATGTCGTTCCACGAGCAAGCTGTCAGTTTATTGTTGTTTGGTTGGCGATAAAAAGCATTTACTTCAAATGTTTCGTGAACTTTTTTAATAATTTGTTGATAAGCCAAATCGTAGCTAAATAAACGAAGCGCAAGTGTATAAAAGTGTTAATTTCATAATATATTTGTTAATTTGAATACTATAAAATTGTTTTATATTGTTTAAAACACGCTACTAGAAAAAGTTGCTAGTACAGCTGGCGCACAATTTATAATTGACACTGAAATATGTAAAGAGAGATATTCCTATCTTATAACTTCCTATCGCAGATTAACTGAATTTTAAAATACCGGAAAGCAAAAGTTACACACTTATTCGAAATGGATTTTCGACATACAGAAGTTCTTAAATTGCTCAGTATATATAGACAATATGAGTGTCTATGGAATTGCTTCAGTCCAGATTATAAGCAACCAGATATGAAGAAAAGTGCGTGGATAGAGCTGTCCATACATTTCGGGAAGGAAGTTGATGAATTAAAGAAAAAGATGAAACATTTACGCAATTGTTACTCTGCAGAAAGGAAAAAAGTAGAGGCCAGTAAAAATAAACATGGTATCCCAACATATGAACCACGCTTATATTATTACCAGCAGATGGATTTTTTAGCTCCTGTTGTATCCTTACGGAAATACTCTGAACAGGAAAATGTATGTTTTATATACTCACAATATTATTATTTATAATTGAATAACTTAATATGTTTAACTTTATAGAACGACGACCCGTTAGGCGAATCTAAGGGCAGTTCACCGAAACATGATTCAACTTTCAGCGATAGAAAGGTACATATTTAAACGTAATGAGCTTGCAATTTTTTTATAAATACAACTTATAAATTTAAATTTTAGAGACAACGTATGGATTCTAGTGATGCTGAGAGTGATCGTGCGTCATCTCACGCAGAGTTAAGAACAACAGTAAGACTACTATCACACATTGTAAAAGCTTAAATTTGCATCAATATAATTACTATTCGTACATTTACAGAAAGTACCTCTCGATTCAGATGATTCTCTTAGTATGATCCAAATTGAGCCAAAGCCTATCGTAAGATTAAAATATTTGATGATGTTATTAAATATATTATATATATAAATATGTCTCATTATATTGATTTCAGAAAAGACGTCTACTTGTCAATGATGTGTTGAAAGAGCAGACCCAAAAGGTTACAAAAAGCCACACGAGGTCATGTAAAGAGGACACATTTTGTGCTATGTTATGTAGCGAACTTAAATTGCTTAAATCCGAAGAGACCTATGACAATGTAACATCCGAAATTTTTACCGCAGTGAAAAACGCAAAGATTGCTGAACGTCAAAGGAATTATCAAACCGACATTGAAAGCAAAAGTTTTAACAGAAACTAAAGCATTACAAAGAAAGTGTAGAATTAAAATAAAAAATTATATTAAAAAGCAAAATATTCCGCTACGCGGTTATCTTGTTAAGAATTGTGATATTATTTATATCAGCGTTGAAGTGAACTTTTAAAACGCATTTGGTGTGCAAGTGCTGTAGATAATTTGAATCTATTATGTTTAAACCTTTGCACTCCGCACGATTTTGGACATTGGCTTTCAGCTAATTAGCACCACTTTACAACAGAAACAAACATTTACAATCCCTCGTATAACTTATTATAATTTTCGAACTAAATAATGAATTATAATGATATTGAACTAATGTTAGTTGGTTGAGATCGGGGAATGTTTATTTGTAAAAAAAAATATTTTTTTGTTTATAATTTTACAGAATATGAACCATTTTAAAACACTTCTCAATATGCATTACGGGCTGGTTAGTTCATGTTTGACAATAAAACTTTGTTTGTCACCTGCCACCAGCTGTTTTCCTGTCAGAACATACTGTACAATCTCGTTTTGTTCGTCCGACATCTGGAAGATGTATTTTATTACCTAATCTATTGTCCACAGAAGCTGTATTTGGGCGCGTTCTTGACATTCGAAAAACGCGCTTGAATTGGTTTATTACAAACTACACCACAAGTCAAGGACGTCATCTAAGTAATTTTACGGTATTCTATTTTACCACATATGGGTGATATGCTAGAATTACGATATCCCATGAGAGAGGAGACAACGGTATGCAAAGGGTTAATAATTTTGCATACTAATTTCATTTCCGTAAATAGGAGCAATGCATCTGTTAACAGTTAAAGTAATGTCATAATTTTAATGTCAGTTTACATTGCAATTCAAAAGAATAGAAGCCAGAGTAGTAATCAAGATAAACATAGGGAAATAAAGCAATTTAATGAATAAGTATTTCAAATAAATTAGAACCACTTAACCAATACCTTCAGTAGAACACTGAGGCCTCTTCTGTTCTTTCGCGTATAATATATAAATAAACCTGGTCGACTCAAAATCAGGATTTGTCAAGAGAAACGAAATTTTGAGTTTGCGTTACTCATCACACGATAATGAAACATGATTGATGGTATAATGTTTTTTTTTTTTTTGTTTTTCGGTTTACAAAGTATGGTAACACTTATTTTTTGTTTGGTTGCAACCATTTCTTATGGTATGAATAAGAGGACTTTTAATACAAAACAAATGTGTAGAACTGAAATAAATCCCAGTCCTAACTATTTGAGTACACGTTCAAAACTTAATAAATAATTTCATGAATTTTTTCAAACCTCCTAAAGATATCAAAAAGTCCTTTTAACGCAATTTTCTTTTACAACACTTTGAAATGTTATATTCACCACAGAACTGTCATCAATTCTGACACAATCAGCTGTAGCAGCCAACATCGCTTACTAAATTTATCTTGATGCGTATATCATTCTAAAAACGTTTAAAGAACATTTTAATATCATACCAAAAAGGTAAATAGTAAGATAAAGAATTTAAAGAAAAATGTGCGCTTTAATTACAACGTACTAATAAATTCAAAAATTGTTTATTTCTCAGTTTAAGCATTTAACAAGTGAATAGAAAACATATTACTGTATATTAGTGACATTTGCGTATATGTAAGTAATACTCCACAAAGCCAATAGATTGCCGTACATACAAAACCCCAAGAGGTTGAGAATGGATTGGAGGCAGGCGGAAATTTTCGACTTGATATCCATGTACAGAGAGTCTGAGTGCCTATGGAACTGCCTAAATCGTGAATATAAAGACGTGGACTTGAAAAAAAATGCATGGAGGGAAATCGCTACTTTCTTCGGAAGAAAAGTGGAGGACGTAAAGAAGAAAATAAAAAATTTGCGCACTAGTTACGTTATAGAGAAAAAGAAAGTCGAAAGAAAGAGGACCGAATCGGGAGAAACTGTGTATGAGCCCCGTTTATTCTACTATGATGAAATGACCTTTTTGGACCCTGTCGTAATTTTACGATTTTTTAATCCTACAGAACAAGTACGTACTCTCATTTTGTTTATGTATAAAATATGTACCAAATAAAAATATCTTGGACACTTATTTTGGTTAATAGTAATTTCTTAAAGATCAACCGAGTTAGTGGCAATTTTTTAATGTTATCAATTTATGACGATTGTATTTACAAAATATTTTGACAAGTTTTCTTTTGTTTTTTAAATTTAACAAAAAAAATATTTTTTTAGAATGCAGATCCTTTAACTGAAATGAAAAAACAGCGTTCTTCAAAAGTAAGACATATGATTGATGAAAAGGTAATTATATTTGCTTTAGWTAATTATGAAGATAATCTATATATTTTAAATATGTGTATTTATTTACCAATAATTTCAGAAAAAGCGCAAACTATTCAGTAATTCTCAGACGGAGCGATCACATTCGGAGCTTTCTCCTATAGTACGTGGTCTTCAATAACTCATTTATATGCCATTCAACTTATCTACTAATATTTTGAATTTCAGAAAAGACTGCGTGATATAAGTGATGTACATTTAGATAATGAACTACAAGACGAATCAGAAGAGGAAGAGCATCTAAGTAAGGAAGATACTTTTTGTGCAATGCTTTGCAGTGAACTTAAATCAGTTAAATCGGAAGACATATATGACAATGTGACATCTGAAATTTTTACCATCCTAAGGAATGCGAAAATGGCAGAACGTCAAATCGTGTACCAACCCGAAGAGATTACTAAAGTAGCTACTAAAACGATGTGAAGACACGTTTGATAACGAATGTGACTTTTTTAAGTCGATCCTGCACCTCCGCCACTATTTGCGAAGTGTTTTCTGCACTACCACAAAAATAAAATCTTCTAAATGAATATTATATTTGTCTAATATTAAAGAAACTATAGTGCGTGAACACGCAACTAACAACAAGCAAACCTTATAAATTACATATGTACATATATATACAAATGATACGATTTAGTATTATCTGCCTGTCTAATCGGTTGTTTATATGCGAACTAGTTCTGCAGTTTTTATTGATTAGAAATTTACACACGCCCTTCTCTTTCCAAGAAGCTACTCATCTGTCGGAAGCGCTGATATCGGACTACTAAAGAATTTAGCTGCTTTACAAACTGACCTTAAAGTAGTAGTTTTGTATAATTTTTTTTTTTTTTACTTAAGATGCTTTCACGAAACTTGGGATAGATTATTCTCCAAAGCAGCGTTGGTTTACAATAGATTTTAAAATTACCTTCTGCACACACACACACACACACGAAGACTTCGTTTGCCACACACACATTTTGTTCTGGTTCGTTTGAATTATTTCATTAATTCTTTGCTAATGAGAAATATTTATGATTTAGATGAGGTATATAGGAATTTGCGAATTTGGTAAGTAAGGGGAGGCATAAAGAATGCAATAGCCAACCAGAGAATTTTATAATAATCTTGGAATAAATGTGACGTTTTCGTATTTTTGTTACATCTTTCAACAATTTTTTATGAAAAAAAAAAATAATAAAAACATATTTAAGAACTCCTGATATATGACAAGCGCCTATACTCAGCGCAAATGTACATTTTCATATGAAATTGCGCAAGCAGAGCAGAGTGAAAGTTGACGGAAACCGAGCGAAAAGCACTGACCCGCGCTGAAATAACGCATATATTACATTTTCAAAAAATTTTTATTTATCGTCTTAAATCTTTATAAAAGCGGTGAAATTCAGCGCCGATAGGTTTTAAGTACCGCAGAGTGGATACCAGATTCACCACTGAATTCGACGGGTACTTTCATTTTATTCTGTTTAGTTCTACTCTGTTTCTGGTTCGTAACAGCTTCTTTTAACCGCAAAAGACCGAGTAGGCAATTGAGAAGCAAAGTCCTCTCTCGAACAAAAACCAAACTCTATAAATCACTCATAACTCCCTTCCCGCTATATGCGGCTACGCTGGGCAGGTCATGTTGTCCGAATGTAAAGTATTCGACGCTGTACCCGCCGGGGGAAGCAGAGGAAGAGGACCAGGTGAAGAAAGACCTGGCTACGCTTGGAATATCCAATTGGCGCCACGTAGCCAAAAGAAGAAACGACTGGCGCGCTGTTAACTCGGCTATAAGCGGTGTCTACGCCAATTAAGAAGAAGACTACTTCCCAATAAATAATTAAAATTGTCATAAATTTGGACTTGAATATATTAAAGCGAGTTTTTAATAAGGTCTGAAGAATAAGAGAATTCCCGTCATACATTTTCCCTTGAATATATCAGCTTCGACTTTGGCCAGCGTCCACTCTGCGGTGATTGTGCGATTTCATATGAAAACTTACGCACACAGTTTTGAAGCAGATTTCTCACCCACTCTGCAGACATTCTAATTTTTAACCGGCGTCACCAGAGAATGTATGTATGTATATCATATGATATTATATTAGATTATGTTACTGTTCAAATATAAAGAACATTATAATAACTAGATCTAAAAAAAACTTACTTTTATATCACAATTTCCGCAATGATAATTATTTAATACGCGTTGATACAGGAAATAACTGTTTTGCCTATGACTTTTAAAATCGGATTACCATTTCAACGTAAATAGCGTTAACAACACTTTTCAATGCTATTTTCACCACAGTCATCAATTCTGACACAATCAGCTGTAGCAGCCAACATCGCTTACTAAATTTATCTTGATGCGTATATCATTCTAAAAACGTTTAAAGAACATTTTAATATCATACCAAAAAGGTAAATAGTAAGATAAAGAATTTAAAGAAAAATGTGCGCTTTAATTACAACGTACTAATAAATTCAAAAATTGTTTATTTCTCAGTTTAAGCATTTAACAAGTGAATAGAAAACATATTACTGTATATTAGTGACATTTGCGTATATGTAAGTAATACTCCACAAAGCCAATAGATTGCCGTACATACAAAACCCCAAGAGGTTGAGAATGGATTGGAGGCAGGCGGAAATTTTCGACTTGATATCCATGTACAGAGAGTCTGAGTGCCTATGGAACTGCCTAAATCGTGAATATAAAGACGTGGACTTGAAAAAAAATGCATGGAGGGAAATCGCTACTTTCTTCGGAAGAAAAGTGGAGGACGTAAAGAAGAAAATAAAAAATTTGCGCACTAGTTACGTTATAGAGAAAAAGAAAGTCGAAAGAAAGAGGACCGAATCGGGAGAAACTGTGTATGAGCCCCGTTTATTCTACTATGATGAAATGACCTTTTTGGACCCTGTCGTAATTTTACGATTTTTTAATCCTACAGAACAAGTACGTACTCTCATTTTGTTTATGTATAAAATATGTACCAAATAAAAATATCTTGGACACTTATTTTGGTTAATAGTAATTTCTTAAAGATCAACCGAGTTAGTGGCAATTTTTTAATGTTATCAATTTATGACGATTGTATTTACAAAATATTTTGACAAGTTTTCTTTTGTTTTTTAAATTTAACAAAAAAAATATTTTTTTAGAATGCAGATCCTTTAACTGAAATGAAAAAACAGCGTTCTTCAAAAGTAAGACATATGATTGATGAAAAGGTAATTATATTTGCTTTAGTTAATTATGAAGATAATCTATATATTTTAAAWATGTGTATTTATTTACCAATAATTTCAGAAAAAGCGCAAACTATTCAGTAATTCTCAGACGGAGCGATCACATTCGGAGTTTTCTCCTATAGTACGTTTTCTTCAATAACTCATTTATATGCCATTCAACTTATCTACAAATATTTTGCATTTCAGAAGAGACTGCGTGATATAAGCGATGTACATTTAGATAATGAACTACAAGACGAATTAGAAGAGGAAAAGCTTTTAAGTAAAGAAGATACTTTTTGTGCAATGCTTTGCAGTGAACTTAAATCCCTTAAATCAAAAGACATATATGACAATGTGACATTCGAAATTTTTACTATCCTAAGGAATGCTAAAATGGCAGAACGTCAAGAAATATACCAACCCGAAGAGATTACCAAAGTAGCTAGTATAAAGATGTGAAGGTACGGCTTCTTCACAACAAAAGTAGCGCCCACGTATCGGAAGAAGGAATTTTTAAAGAGCATTTGAGAAATATGCCATTACCACACCTATAATAATAATTTTAAAGCAATTGTAAATATTTCTACTTATATACATACATACAGCCGTTGACAACTAATTAGTAATGCTCCCTTTATTATAGGTGGCTGATGAATATAATGATAAAAAATTTTTATATACCGTCACTTATAATTCCTAAAAGTCTTGCATTGTTCGTGTTACTCTATTTACTACTAAATTCACTCTGTTTTGTAGTTATGAAGTTAAAGCTCTTTTAATTTTTACCAAATAGTAAATGCGTTACGATATAGAAGTTGTATTAAGTGCGACAACTAATTAGAAACAGTTGTTTAAGGAATTAAAATTTCTTAATGTGTTAATTTTTCTTAATAATATTATTGACCTCTGGTAAGGGTGGGTTTCAAAGTTGTGGTTTAAAATATAACAAAATGTATTAATGAAATTTTTTAATGAGGAAACGCTGCAGCTGCTGTACACCTACCCTTCGCAGCTAGATTTTTAACCTTCCTCGGCCTGGAAATTTCGAATAACGTCAAATGCTCAAAAAACTTTTTTTGAATGTCCTTAAGCATATACACAATTTTAAAGCTATTTTCAATATTGCATGCAAAAAAAAAAAACCGAAAAACTTCAACAGAAATATACCGCAGAATTAACACTATCTCTTGAAGAGACCCAAAAATAGAGTTCCACTGACATTGTACATGAAATTTAAGATGAATATAATAGCTAACTATTGAAGAAAACAATTTCCCGGGGTTTGGTCTTATCTGAACTTCACGCAGGAACCCACTTCGGACTAAAATTCGTAGAAACAACGCGTAGGCTTTGCCAACTCTAATTGGTCTAAGACAACAAATCAACGGAGGTATGTCGTTTGGAACGATGTAACCAAAATTAATCACTTAGGTGCTGATGGTCGAAGGTATATTCGCCGTCTAATAATTTGCTCCTCCCTATGTGTTGGTCCACTTCACAAGATAAATGAAATTTGAAATTAGGAGAAATGCGTCGATATTCTAAAAAATGTCATGTTTAAGGTAGACAACAATTCAAAGCATATATCTAAGTTGACACAAAAGTTTTTTAATGAAAATTCTATAAATGTTTACGAGTGGGAATCGTACAGCCCAGACTTAAACCCTATAGAACATCTCTGGGTGATATTAAAAGAGCCATGTACACCAAAAATATCCCAAATATGGACGTTCTTTCTGATGAAATTAGAACGGCATGGCAAGCTACACCATTGGTGCGCTATCAGAGTCTCATAACGTAAATTTGGAATCGATATGAAGCAATATTAAAGTAAAAGAAATAACCAACAAAATACTGACTGAAAGCTAGTTTTTGTAATATCATTATTTTGGGTTGATAAAATATTTTCGTTTCTAATTAGTTGTCGCACTCAATTCGTTGATTCCACATGTTTTTGTTAAAATCTTCAAAACAAAAACGAATTTTAAACAACATATTTACTATTGGAGTTTAACATACGTTTCAATAAAATAAGTGATTTTACAACAAATATACGTGTTTTATTGGAAAATAACAACATTTAATTCAAAATAAGTGACGTTTCTAATTAGCTGGCAACGGCTGTACGTATGCACAAAATAAGAAAGCTTGATATAATATAGGATACCGTGCTTTTTTCGTTCAGAATTAACATCTTATTTTTGTATGGTTTATTAAAATGTTAATTTGTACGTAACAACATGTATTTAAGTAAGTTTTGAGATGTAAAGTACAAGGCTGGTCCGAGAAAATTTACCGCCCTAGGCTAATGTCAAATTTTGCGACCTAAGGCTACAGTAACATGTTCAGGGTATAAGTATGTAAAGAATATTAGCCAAAATGCGGCCCTAAAATTCTTGCACCCTAGGCAATTCCCTAATTCATCTATATAGATGGGCCGGCCCTGCATAGACATTACATACAAATTTCTAAAAAATTCTAAAGCAGTTCATAAAATTAAAAAAAAAACACGAAATGTATCCATTTACCAATTTCCGCCCGTTCCCACGACAGTCGGCTCTAAGTAATTGGAATTGACCTGGAATGTTAGGCGGCCAAGGACTGGCAACTCGTCACCATTTCTTGAAGTTACTACCGGAATGTTTTCGGTCACTATAACAACAACAATCAATTTCGCTTAGATAACCACTGCTACAACAACGACCAATTTCGCCTATAGTTTTGCCTGCATAGCTTTTATTTTTTCTTTAGTTATATATCTTAAAGCTAAATCAGATGATGAATTTGCATTAACCCTTTCGCGATGTTATCAGAATGACACATACGGCTATAACCTACGTGATGTTTTTGTCCCACTCACGAAAACTTCCGTTATAGTTAACAAAAAAAAAAAAAAAAAATCGGATTGGGACACTAACTTAAATCTGATTACTTCTGCAATGGCACACAATAAGCTACTACATATAAAACCAATGCAGTAGACGTCGCCTATGTCCGACGTGTTTATATACCTTGTGCTCACACAATTAAGCCACATAAACGTTATGGTGTACAAATTCATAAAAGTTGAATTTTATTGATAAATCGAAAAAAAAAGTTTCACAAAATTAAAAGAAAGTACTTAAACTTTATTGTACTTATAGTTTTTTAAAGGTAAATTTTAATGTAAAAGCAAAAATCTGTTTTCTTCTTCATTGGTATGTATTTTTCGTGCTCATATAATTAAGCCACCTGCAAAAATAAGCTGTCAGATAAAAGAATTCGATGTTTTGTTCAAAAAAACTTGCCTTATTTAGACTAATATCTTGTTGGGAATCCCTTTGCAAAATTACTTCCCTGCAGCGTTGGTTCATTGTACGGACTAGTGTGTTACATTGGTCCGGAATAATTTTGCTCCATTCTTCATTTACAATTTGCCACAACGTAGCCTTATTTGACGGTTTTCTCGCCGCAACTGCCCTTTTAATAATCCCCCATAGATTCTCTATAGGGTTTAAATCCGGGCTTTGGGTAGGCCACTCAAGACACTTGATACGGTTCATCGCAAACCAGTCCTTAACGACCCTGGAGCAGTGCTGTGGGTCGTTATCCTGTTGAAACATCCATGCTAGTGGTAAATTATCGACGTAATTTTTATCTAGGTGTTCGGCTAAAATGTCTCTGTACATACTGCCAGTCATTTTGCCCTCAATTTGTACAAGTGGTCCTACTCCGCATGAAGTAAAACACCCCCATACCATGACTGATGATCCACCATGTTTGACAGTTTTTTTAGTATACCGTGGGTTCAGTTCTTGTAGTGGTGGTCGCCTGGCATAGGGTCTACCGTCATTCCCAAAGACATTAAATTTAGATTCACTACCACTAGATCCCAGAATTTTGAGTCCTTTTGCAGGTGCTCTCTTGCAAACGATAGCCTTCGTTTGATGTTCCTTTTTGTAACGATCGGTTTGCTTCGTGCAATTCGCCCATTTAAGAAATTTTCCTGTAATCTCCGTCGGACTGTCTGTGCTGATACCCGTACATCATGATTTTGCTCAATTTGGGCTCTAATTTCACTCGAGGTCAAAAAAGGATCTATCTTGCTCATCCGTACTATCTGCCTGTCGTCGTTAGGAGTTGTTTTTCTGGGTTTTTTACGGGGCAGATTTTCAAAAGTCTTATGTTTTTTAAAATATTGTAAAGCATTCTTAACCTTTCCCCTAGAAAAGGTTAAATATTCCACTACTTTCGCAATATTTTTGAACTTTTGGTAACATTCCCATATGACTCTTCTTTCACATGGAACTGTACTTTTGTTTTTACCCATTGTTTAGAAAACTTTCAAAAAACGTTTTTAAATTAAATGGAACCAATAAACGTTTCACTTTTTTAATAATTTTTTTTACACAGACAGTGATTGCAAAGCTTTTGTAACACTGGCTTAATTATGTGAGCACAAGTGTACGATTTTTTTCTATGTCGGCATATACCGACGTGTCCAATTTAAGCCATTCGTTGTATCGGATTATGCCGACGTGTCCGCGAAAGGGTTAAACAGGACTTATATCTGATCGAGGTCTATGATTAAGTAAAGATGAATAAAACAACAACAAATGCCAGTCAATTTGATGGTTTATTGGTGTGATGCTAAGGGAACTAAGTTAAGTTGCGTATACGCTATGGTGGCCTATTTGTTATATTTTCATCAAAATGCAACAATAATAACAGCTCATAACTTTTTTAAAAATATGCTGAGTATAACGGTATACACTTATTACTTATTCTTATTCTTATTAATTAAATTATCAATTTTCGACCAACAATGCTCTCTATAAAGTCCGAGTAATTAAACACTTTTGTAATCAAGAAAAATTTTTTTGTAGGCCAGTGTTATTGGCTTATTCACATAAATTGCCAGAAGCCAATATTTGAAACGGCTGACCTCATGCAGGACAGTACCATACAAGCTAACATTACTTGGTGTATGCCAGGGCGTATGAGTGATGCGCGGTGCGGTGGCTGGCAAGTGCTTGCAAACATAGTATATGAGGAAATTAAAATGAGAATTGTAGGTAAACTAGAGCTGTGAGCTGACATCTACTAGCGTGAATGTGGTTCATCCTATCTACTATACCGACTACTGATGTGCACAGAGCTGCACCAAACTAAAAAGTTATTTTTGCAGGCCAGTGTATGAGTTGCCTGAAAAGATTGCATGCGTTTAACAAAATTTTAAATTTTTTTTAACAATCTTTACTTTTATAGATACTGTTGGATCAGAGGAGAAAAACTCCACTGTTGTAAATTTGTTAGCATGCAAGCAATTTGCTGTAGTCAACACAAAACGTTTGTCAATTAAAGTGCCTCTGCAGAATTCCACAAATTGTGAAGCAGATGCTAAAATTAACTTTATGCAAGACGGTTTGCGACGGTTTGCGACCGATATTAGTCACCCGAACTCATTCATTTGTAATCTTCTCGCAAGCTTGAAATAACAGAAAACGCACAGAAATTCAGCGAAAAAACAATGTATTAGATAACACTTATAAATACGATGAAAAGTCGCCAAAGTGGAGGTGTTATTATTTAAGAGTTAAAGATTTATTTTAGCACGTCCAATTAAGAGTTTATTTAAAATTACATTTTCATTCAAACTTGGCTTTACTTAAATGGTTAAAGCTTCAACTTCATCAATTTGTGTATAAATACTGTGTTTTACTGATGAGTCTGCAAAACAAATCGGAACTTACCACGCTCCGCGGGACATTTTTGACGGTTGCTTAAATCTTCTAGTTTCGTTTCTAACTTAGAGAGTCTCTCCCTCCACCGTTACTGCGTTGCTTTGATTGCCGCCGACAGCCCGAAAATTTCATTAACAACAAATACAACTTATAGAAAGAGTTGGACATATTTAAGCTGAAAGGGAAATATGACTCACCTTTGACTCCACAATTCCACCATCGCTTTGACTTCTGCCAACGACCTAAAAGTTTCATTAACAACAAATTTCAAGAGTACATCTTATAGTAAAAGTTGGACATATTTAAGCATTGCGCAAAATATTAATCTGCAGGTTTATTAAATCTTCTAATTTCCTTCCCAATTTAGACACTTTTTGAGTAATCCTGAAAATTTCACTAACAAATTTCAATAGTACAACTGAAACATAGTACAATCTGAGAGAAAGAGTTTGACTCCCGTGCATCCTCTAAAACACTTTGCTTTCCGTCGATTGATTTCGCTAAGGTAAGAAATTGGTCTATATCCCACCCGGCATCCACGTATATTGTTAATGGCACATCATCCGTATAAAGCTCGGGATTAGCATTCTCTGCGCTCGCCGCTAGTAGCAGAGCGACGATGAGTCCAATAAATACGATTTTATTTTCCATTCTATAGGTTTAAATCAATTGGCTTTGAAGAAAGGAAATCACATACTATATAATTTAATATATGCAATTTATGACATAATATTATTGTATAAACTTTTCTGAAGAAATGCATGGTCTTATGCTTTTTGGATGCTTTTTATGGAAAGAAATTTTTTAATCTCGTATGTTTTTCTTTAGAAAAGAAGGGAACCTCTGAATGGACCACCCTTAATAAGTGATGTACCATTTCGATGGTCCATCCGGTGGTTCTCACCGTCATCATTTTTGAAGAAATATGAACCGATGATTCTGCCGCACACAAACATCACCAACCCATTTGTTTTCTGGAAGAAATAGCAGCTCTTCAATCCCTTCAAATTGCTCTTCGTCCTAAATGCGGTAGCTTCGCTTATTTACAAGCTCAAGCCTTGAGCCAAAAAATGAGCCTGCTCGCTGAATAAAATTTAGCTCGAAAATGACGGATCAGACAGACGGACATGCCTAAATCGACTCAGCTCGACATACTGATCATTTATATATACAATTTATAGGGTTACATTACAAACTTCGTGACAAACTTAATATACCCTGTTCAGGTTATAAAAATGTATAACAGTTTTATTTTTATAACGGCCTGAATTTGTAACAAAACTTATGGCGGACTAAATACACATCCATACAAGCGAATAATACATTTGTATGTATATACATGCATATACACATTTACATATGTAAGTATACATATGTGTAGGTGTATGCAAATATACTTACTCATATTCACACACGTATAACAAATACATATACGTAACGCGGCATATTTATGCAAATGATTATCAATTTTGAACAGGAATGCAGAAATTTTGGAACAGAAACCCTAAACAAGCATCCTTTCAGCGGAAGAGCGAAAAAATTAACCACTCGCCAAACAAAAACAAACTTAGACATACTTATGTATATACTCATGTGGTGTGAGAGCGGGAGACGAACTCAACCGCCATGGGGAGCACAATCATCAGTAAGTGGTTGTGCATATACACATGTATGTATTTACCAAAATATACGCACTGACTTACAAACATACATACACAAAAACAAATATAATATTGCTTTGCCACATGAGCTTATTCGGTATACGCGAGTTCGGCAAGGTTAAGTTCTGTCGTCAGGATAAATATACGATGAACTTTGTTGTGTTGTGTTTTTTTTTCTGATTTTTTGCGGGGTCGACGTGTAAGCAAAAAATAGTAAGGCTTTGTTCATATTTTGAAAATTCTTAATTTATTCTTCCAAATCTATGGCATCCCTCTTGACCGAACTACATTATGCGAACGTTTTTTCCAATCGTTGAAACAGTTGTTAAAGTGAATTTTCGGAATAGACTTCAATGCGCGCGGCGATTCATGTTTGATGTCTTCAATTGACTGTTTCCACGGAGCGGTCGTTTGAGTTTGCTGAATAGCCAGAAGTCACACGGAGCTAAATCAGGCGAATACGGTGTCTGCAGCCGAGATTGGTTGAAAATTTGGCGAAAAACTCACGAAGAATCAAAGCAGTATGCGATGATGCATTATCGTGTTGCAGAAACTAAGAGTTGTCGGCCCACAGTCCCGGAGTCTTTTTACAAATATCACAAATAGCTTCGCGCAAATGACGTAAACACTATTTCTTGTTAACAGTATGGCGGGTCGGAGGCAATACGGAGTGCACCACACCTCAATAATTGAAGGAAACTGTCAAGTTAACATTGATTTTTAACCTGCTTTGCTGTGGTTTTTTCGGCTCCGGCTCACCTTTGCCACGATATACGGCCGATTGATCGTCTGTTTCGGGGTCGTAAGCGTAGATCCAAAACTCTTCGCCAGTAATAATATGTTTCCTGACATGCTAGTAGTCGGGAAGCATTTTTGCATAGACATTAACACGACGCTGTTGCTCGAACAAATTTAGCGACTTTGGAATCAATTGTGCTTTCACTTTTCAGTTAAAGAGTTGACTTTTGATCAAATTGCGGTTACTTAGACTTTTGATCAAAAGGCAACTATAGATACCGGGGTCCAAATATTCGGTACTTGAGCAGTTTTTTTGGATTTGAACAATTTTTGTGCATTGTTTCTTGATTTTTTTTTTACTGGAAGGGAAAGAATCAGTTGGAATTTAAAATTCTGTTATATGGAAGTGGGCGTGGTTGCAGTTCAATTTCGCCGATTTTCGCATTTTTACATAGGAATGTGAGCAGAATGTCCATTTGACCAGTCCTTACCCAGTCTTTCATAAAGCTATCTAATGTCATATCGCTTGAAGTTTTTTTTTACATTTTATGTCTCTGCCGTATTAAGTTATTGATTTATCGCCCTTTCAGTACTTCTTAACAGTGCCGTTATATGGGGAGCGGACGCTTCCATACATTTGTACAGTGTTGTTGTTGTTGGTGTTTGTAGCGGTAGAAAGTATTCCTGAATCAATTTCGAGTCATGGTGCCGAGTTGACTGTCACTGACGGGATAAAAATCTAGGTGCGTTCCGGTTACTTAGATCCGATTGAACTGGGAATGGATAGTTTTGTTGTTGTAGCGGCAGAAATCTGTCGAGTTGGCATTCCTTGCCGGATAAAAACCGGATTCGTTCCGGTCACTTAGTCTGCTTGGAGAGGAGTTAATTACGCTCTTTAACTGGGAGCATGCGAGCCTCACATCAAGAGGCATTCTGTAGTGGTCCAAAGTGCAGTATGCTGACAAGTTTGTAGCTTTCTCATCTACGTTTCACTCGTGCGGCGTAGTTTAGGGCCGGCCATCCGGTTGCCTTGAATGTTGCCAACACGTTTCTTTGTCTTTTCCCCCATGAGCTGCTAGCGACTGGAGCATTTTGTTGCGGCTCTATACCTTGGCAATAATCGCGGTCGTGTGAGGTGTGAAGAAGTACAGGCTGTCACAGGAAGTCACACCTAAAATCTCAGGGTTATTGACTTATATTGTTACAGTGCAGGTTTCGCTTAAAGAAGTGGCATACTCCGTTTACGCCCACCTGTAATACTCAATCTCAATCTCAATTTTTACTCAAGTTGCAGCTTACACAGAGCTACGGACAGACAATCATCCGTATTTGAACTCATCTTTACATTTATATATAACCTTATATGTATCTAACTCGATTAGTTTTAGTTGATACAAACAACCGTTAAGTGAACAAGTGAACAATGCCAAGACACGAAATAGCAACTACAATATTGTTGTAATATAACACCCACCACAACAAGAACAACAAAACAACCATAATATTATTGTTATTTGCAACAACAACAACAACAAGAATAACAATACTGCTTAATACTGCAACGATAACATTGTTAAGTACAACAACTGCAATATTACTTTTATACATCATGCAACCACAACAATTACAAAACCAACAGCAACACCAACAATTGTGGTTTTCGTGATAAATTTCAATGCTACTACAATAACAATATACAATTTTTTTGCGGTTTTCATGCACATTAGAAATCGAAAGTAATCGCAGTGAATTTGAGTGCATTCCGCTAATTCGCGGATAAGCTACTTGCAGCAACGCACAAGCGCAAGTTGCTGCCTAACAACCCCACAGCAGCTGCTCTGCTCCAATACACACATATGTATGTATGTAAATTTATATATACCTATGTATGTAAATATTTACCCACGAAAGCACACACAAAGCTTTAATAGAAAAATGACAACAGAAAACGGAGGTTGTTTAAGTAATTCAAGACATTAGATTACAAATTAAACAATGGTATTTGTTTTTACATTGAAATATATGTTTGTTATATTTAATTATTTATGTATATAGTTTATTACATAATTGCTAACATTTATAAGGTATTGTAGTCACATAGATTTCATCTGCTTTCTATATAAATTGCATTAAATTGAATTTTCTTGCCTATAATGGAGAATTTTAAGTGCAGCTAAGATGCAATTGTTAATTAACAGTTAGCTGTAAGAACGTACATAACGGCAGCTTGCAGATAGGCGGGTCCATGTATGCAAAGTCTATTAGAGCAATAGAGATGGCGGCAAATTCGTAGTGTTGCAGCGGCAAAAACATTTTTGTAGTAATTTGAAGAAATGCAGTTCTTGTACGGATAAAAATCGGAATCACCTTTACCGTTTACGTAGATCCGTACTTTCACTTATGACGACTTTCTTTGACAGTCCATTGCGTTAGTGACATTGTATGTCGCCATCTGCGCGCCATCATGCTGCATGTACACCCCGACATTGCTGACATCAAAAAAAAACATTTAGACCTACACTACGCTTAAAATTCTCCAACATATTTACTAATATTGTGGGTAGGTATGCGCTTGTTGTGAACACCAATAAATTTTAAAACACCTAAATGTGTGAAATACGTACATTTTCTAGGTTTTAGGTTTAAATTTTGCTAAATTTTTGAGAAATCTACATAAATATGTATAAAAAGTATTTAAAGTTATAAAAATTTCTAACAATATAATTGTATAAACTAGGAAAACAAAGAATACTTGCAAATAAAGTACAGCGTTATGTCAGCTGCTAGCGTAATTTCGAGAAAATTCAAACTATTACAAATCCTAACACAGGCTGCTTACTAAAATTTTATAATTTTCTGCAAAATTAATCATATTTTTTATAGCTATTACTAAAGTTTAGTAAAAATACAGCAAAGTTGTCAAAATTTAATAAATAATATGTGATTGTAATTAAACCATCCTATTGTGCGATCAAAGGATTTTAACTAAATGATAACAATATTGCGAAAAGCACGTATTTAATGTAAAGCTACGTGACAGCTGTATGTAAACCGAATTAAACACAACTATAATTGCTGAATAAGCATAAATGTATAAAATTGTAAATTTATAATTGTAAAGTGTTTCTATGCATTAAGTACTGCTCTAAGCACACGAAATAACGTGTGAAAACTAATTATACAAGTAAACACAACGGCGGTATTTTCATATAATCAATTACGCCAGTACGAAAAGTTATTGCTATAGCTACTGCTGTAAGCAATGTAGCAAATGTCATACAATATAACCGTTAACCGTTATAAACCTAAATTTTTCTATTTTTTTTTTTCATTTTTGTTTCTGTATTTTACTGCTGACGCCGCTGTACCATCGCTGTATCTGCCGCTCTATTATATATGTTATGTGTTGCCGTTGCGCCTCACTCGTACGCCCCATTCCTCTGCAAATATGCTGTCAACCCACCATTGCGCACTTGCACCGCATTGCTTGCGTTTAACGCTTTATCAGTACGCACACTTGTTGCAGCCGTTTGTTAGAAGAGACGCTTCTCATAGGAGAAGAGACCATGCACATTACCCTCTACTTGTGCGGAATGAGTGCGCTTCATGAAACGTAATTGGCCATTGTAAATCATTGCTCTATTTAAAAGGTAAAAAATATGTAAAATATTTAAATAAAAAAGTAAAAACAAATTTAAACAAAAACAAATATTTAAAAACTTTCAAAAAAAAAATATTAAACAAGTTAGATACACACCTTAGGTCGCTGACTGTGCGTGCGCCAATGTCCTGACAGCTATGCTGCAGGCCACATTCCAAGTAGGGTAAATAACGCAAAACAGAACCTTTGTCGACAATGCTGCCGCTGACACCCTGCGCCACCTTCGTACGATCCATTTCGGTGTGATAATAACGTGACATAGCGGCGCCTTTGGCATCACGTCGTTCCATAGCTTCTAGTGAACCCATACCGCGATACTTTTTCAGGCGCACACCATCCGAAAAGAAATATTCACCTGGTGCCTCTGAAGTACCTGCCAATAACGAGCCCATCATGACAGCGCTAGCGCCCAACGATAATGCTTTGACGATATGCCCTATGGATTGAATGCCACCATCGGCTATGACAGGCACACCAAATTGTTTAGCATAGCTAGATACTTGGTAAACCGCAGTAGCCTGTGGGCAGCCGCAAGCCATAACTTCTTGTGTGATACAAATCGAGCCGGAGCCCATGCCAACGCGCAAGCCATCTACGCCCGCATCGATTAGATTTTTGGCTTGAGCGCGTGTCACAACTGCAGAGGAGTTAGGGGGGAAACATGTACAAATTTGTAAGAGACTGTCACCTTGAGGTGCATAAAAGCGATTTCTGTTACTTCACTTCTGCTTGTTACTTACCATTTCCACCAATCACTTGTAGTCCCGTATAAGTGTTCTTTATGAATTTAATCATTTCAATTTGATAAATTGAGTTGCCTTGCGATGAATCCAAAACAATTACATCAACCCCATTTTCGACGAGCAATTTGAGACGCTCCTTGTCTTCGGGGCGTGTGCCAATAGCAGCGCCCACCAACAATTGTTTGTTGCTATCTTTCGAAGCGTTCGGATAAGAACGTGCCTTCTTCAAATCGGTACGCGCTATTAACGCAACCAATTCACCATTTTCATTAACAATTGGCAATTTGCCTTTTTTGCTTTTCTCTAAAATAGCATTAGCCATGGGCAGTGTAATGCCGTTAGGGGCAGTTATCAATTCGGTGGTCATTATGTTTCCCAATTTAATTTCGGGCTGATTCTCACGGAAATCAATGTCACGTGATGTGACGATACCTAACAGGCGACCACCCAGTTTACCGTCGGCGGTAATGGGATAGCCTGTAAAGCCGTTTTTGCGTCTCGCCTCAAGCACATCACCGACTGTATTCTCGGGCGCCATAACCGACGGATCACGAATAAAGCCGTGCTTGTATTTCTTGACTTTGTGAACTTCATTCGCTTGATATTCTGGCGTGCAGTTGTGATGTATAATGCCAATGCCACCACAGAGCTGAAAGTAAAAATAATTTTAAGTACAAAAATATACGAAAATAGTTGCAAACAAAAATACAATATATTAAAAAAAATTCACAATAATAACAAATAATTTATAGATTAGATTAAATTTAGTTATTAAAATAACCTTTTAACACACCCAGAAACAAAATACATACATATGTATATGTATATGGACATATTTACATAGAACGCAAACAGTATTTTGGCGAATTCAACTCATTCAAGCATACATACATATTTCAAAATGATATTAACATAGCTATAAATAATTTAACAAACATTTATATATTATATTATATACATATATTAGTCTGTGCGTCAACACTATCATCGCAGTAACCACAAGCATTAACACTTACCGCCATGGCAATAGCCATATCTGACTCGGTGACAGTATCCATGGGGGATGACACTAGCGGCGCACGCAATGTAATACTCTTGGTCAATGGTGAGCTCAGATCCACTTCCTCAGCGGCGAAATCAATATAACCAGGCAAGATTAGAAAGTCACTAAACAATATAAACGCATAATTAATTTAACATGCAATGATAAAATTATAACGCATAAGCACACCTACTTGTAGGTCAAACCATCGCTGTTAGCGAAAAGCTCGTGACATGAAAGGCCATCCTGCAATTCATTTGCGCTAACATCTGCCGATACTACCTTTACCGACTCAGTTGGTACACTGGTATATCCATTAGTGGTCACATTGGTTGTTGTTGTTGCCATCGTTAAAATTTATTGTAGAATTGCGTATGTAAATGATCGTTTGGCACTAATTGAAATGTTGAAGTCAATTGCCGTATTATGCACAGGTAATTGAACTTTAAATGCTTATTTATATATTATTCTTGTAAAATAAATGTTCGTGGCAATAAATGTATTTCAAAAATTGCGTGCCTTAAGTATTTTTGCAACAAGTACACAATATAAAATATTGTGACAATTTCGTACTACAATTACACCGGTGGAAAATTTCCAGCTTCGTGGTAACTTTACAATTGATACTCGCTCCAAAATTGAGTTACAGCAACAAATATGTCCAAAAACAGCGCGCTGATAAAATACTATGAAAATTCTGGAAATAAAAGTACAATTTTCGTAAATAACTCCGAAAATATGGTTCAGTTAGCACAATTCATCAAAGGCACATTTTTTTAATATATTCGTTACCGTCCGTTCCAAAATGCGTCTCACTCAACTGCTCCACACTGAATGAGCATTTTCGCAAGCTCCACGTGTTGCTCATTTCGTTGAAGGCTCCCAAATTTGCAGGGATGCATTGACAGGTAGATTTATAAATCATAATTTTGTAAGGATTTAATTTTATTATTATTTTTATAATACTTTTAATTTTTCCGATTCACTAAGAAATAAGCTAAAATTATCTATTCCAATATTTTTAAAATTTTTGACAATATTTAGAAATGGCTTGAATGCTGTATTGCAATTCTTTAAACATATTTATAATTTATTTCACATCGAATAATTTATTCGACAAATTACAGCCGTCACAAAAGAAATATTTTATAAAAATGGTATTGTTGATTAAAAAACATATATTATTTTATCCTTAATATATGTTAAAGAAGTAGTAAAATATAATTAAAGAAAATGCAACCCTACCTCTCTCAACAACAAGCACTGAACACACCCACGGAAAATTATCTGTCAAAAGCCTTTTAAGTCGAAATGACAGTTCACCAAACAGCTGTATAGTAAGAAATAAAGTGTTTTGAAAAATTTATATTGATTCGCATTGCATAAATTATCCTCACTTCGTAATTTAATCTAAACATAATAACATATATAACCCGAAAAAGTAAACACTACAAAAGTATTCATTAATATGAGTTTACCACCAGCATTACTTCAACGCCTGGCACAACGTGGACTTGTCCAAAAGTCGAAATCAAAAGAACCAGGTTAGTACGCATTTAAGTATAAAAATAATTGATTTTTTTAAATTAATTTTATTTATCAAACAGATGCACCATTGGCAGTACCAGTGGAAAATGAAGAAGTTATTGCCGAAGATTATGATGAAATGGATACAGATGAACAGCGTGCAGGTGTGCATGAAGAATATCAATATCCGCCACTATATGACACCGATACAGGCAGCAAACGTGTTGAGGAGAATTTCTGGCTGGAACGCATGAAAGAGCGTATGGGCGAAGCCAATTCTACCACTGGACATCGCGGTTGTCCGAATAAATACAATATATGGCACAAATGTACGCTATTTTGTGTCAATCGTTGGGGTGATGGCAAAACTGAACCTAGCCGTGAATATATGAGGCGCTATAAACGTTTACGCCGCAAATACCCGCTGCCCAAAGGCTGGGCTGAACGTTATGATCCTGGCTGTGCCAGTTATTATTTCTACAGTATTGCCGAAAATTTGGTTTCTTGGTTACCACCTACACATCCAAAATCGCAGGTTACCAAAAGTGCTGCCGTTTTTCGCCGACAATTAGAAGAGGCTGCTGGCGGAGAGGGTGGTGGCGGTAGTGACGGTGAACAGCACGCAGACGATAGTGATGATGCACAAGAAACAGAACTCGCACGACATCAACGTGAAATAGACGAAATCATTAGTTCGTCAATGCGACCCCGCTCTCCAACTTTGCCAAAGCAAGATTTCCCCAGCTTACAGGAGAGTACAGCGGTAACTAGCACAGCACCACAACGCAAACAGAAATCACGTGATTTAGACCGCACGATAGCAAAGCAAAGACGTGACCGTGATAAGGAACGTGAGCATGGCGCTAGTCGCAGACATCGAGGACGAAGTGATGCTGAGCCGGCAGATCCCATGGATCCCAGCTCTTACTCTGATATACCGCGCGGTAAGTGGTCCGATGGCTTGGCTACAGGTGGCGGTGATGAGCAAAAAAAATCGAAGGGCGCAATCAAAGATGTGGGAAAAGAACGTGAAAAAAATGCAGATGTGCGAAGTGGTAGCGATGACTAAACATTTTGTATTAAATATTTACAAATATTAAATAAAATAATACAATAGTGTTTTGAAATTATTTTTTGCCTTTTATTATTAAGCTTTGTAAAATGGTTGTATTTACAGACACATTGTACTTTAAAGGTATTAATACACAACCCTCTGTTATATTACAAATGATAGTAATAGCAGCAGATGTATGAACAACAAAAACAAATAGGAGGCGTCGTCGATTTGTAACTGTTTTAATATTAAATTGCCACTCTGTTTTAGGGTTCTTTCATTATTTACACGGCCAGCCCTGCCCATTCACAGTCCACAGCGCTCAATTACTGCTTTATCTCTGCTCTCTCTCTCTCACGGATTTCCGTACCTGCGTTGGCGTTGGGCTGCATAAATTTCTGTGCTCCTGCTACATTTGATGAATTTGAGGCGTATCTAGGGCGTGGTGGATGTCGACCTTGGGTGTGTTCGTCGGCATTGCCGTTCCGCCATTTCACTTCAACCTTTAACGGCCAGCCGGCCGTTGCACGTTGTCACAACCCCTGCAAGGAAGCAAGCTCAAATGTCTGCTCATATGCATACATTTTACAACAACACTGCAGTACACTATGGTGGACAAAACGTCGTTAAGAAATTAAATATTTATGTCAATCGCCATTAGGATGGGCGGGGAAAAACGTAACCGAAACGTTTCAATTTAAACCACAGCCTGCCATTTGGGCTGAAAATTTTTGCTATTGTTGTCACTTGATTGCTGATAACATTGGTGGTGGGATTGTTTGCGCGCAGCCAGTCAGCTGTTGGAACATGCACATACATGTCAAACTCCTTATTTGTTCACGTACATATGTATGTCTTATTTATATGTAAGTATGTGTATAAGTAGTGTGTGTGTTTGTTATTATTTACTTTTTTCTTTGTTGGAGGATCAAAATCAATTGCTTTGTGTTGGGCACTACAATTTGTTTTTGTTTTACGTTTATTCCTTTGTGTAGGAGGTACAAGCAATTTTGTACGCTATTACACAAATAATGCATAAGATTTTAATTAGTCACACGCTTCACAATTTCTGTCTCGCTCTTTTGTGGCAGGGAAACTGCCTATGAGAAAAATTAGAACTGGGAATTCATTAAGCCCTGCCTACTATGCCGACACGGCCACTCCACAAAGCGTTTGAATTTGTTTTGACAGAGGTAAACGCCTTAGGTGAATGTTTGACCACTAAAGAACTAAGCGTAGATTGTGCCTGGTCGGTGCAAACCCAGCTCAATTCCGGTAATGTAGAACTGGCTGTTTAAGAAATTACGAGTCACCAATGAGCGGTAAATCCAGAAAATGTGGTTTATTGCCAGGGCTGAATCAGAGAATTGAGAATTGAATTGTACTTCAGATGAGTATGTTTGCAATAACTGCAAAGTGGTTGCTATTGTAGCTGTAACAGCTGAAAACGAAAATCGCAATAGGTTGGGTATTGCTGCCTAGGTGCCAATACTTAGTCGGAAACAATTACTGATCGTTACGAAGACCGTCAGGGTAGTGTACGAGCGAGGGGGCACGTCAAGGACAATCCCTTTCGGGCTCAAAATCCTCAGGGGCCCAGTGAACAGTATCACTTTTTTCTGAGGAGCACTTTTGCGACAAACTTCCTCGTTTTTATTATAGTAAGATCGCCTCTGTTCTGGTTACATAGACTGATATGGCAACAGCTGTCTTAGCAGTGTGTATGTAAGTATCGAAGTTCACGAATATTTTAGAAACTGATTTTAAAGGATCTAAGTTAGTTCCAAATGCACATACATACATGTGTATACATACTATTTTTTAGTTTCATTGCACCCCAACAGTAGTCCCAGCCTACAGTTTCCCGGCTCGGTACTAGCTAATGGAAGTAACATGAAACCGCTAATTAGCGCCTTTGGTATCTACAAACGAACATACATATGTACATATTCATATATGTATGTATTTACATATATGAATATGACATAAGGCAGGCACGAAAAGCGTCGTATATTACACACAATATGCCAGCTAGTTGGTCGAGCCCTATAACGGACAGTGGTTGGCTTGCATTCCAGTGAAAGAATGAGATGGCGCGATATGGAGACTACGAACTCGTGCTATCCATTAATAGTTAAGGAACAGCAGCCAGTCAGTCGACAGTTTTGTTGCTTCTTTTAGGCCAAACCTCCCACGCACAGCAACTAACACCTAAAAGGCAGAGGACGGGCGCTGAGTGCCATAGAGCCAGTGCTAGCAAGTGCACAAACATACATACACATACCATCTCTCGAGTCTGGCGCACAAATTAGCACACAATTCCAATTAAGCAATTAAAAGCCGCCTTTTGTGGCGAAATAAAATGAAATAAAAAGAAAAAACCGTTGGGGAGCGGCGGCAGCAGTGACACAGGCAACAACGGTAAACGTTATTGTTGTACTTTGTCAACTTTAGTTATGTGTATGTGTAAGTGTGTGTGGCTATGAAGTTATTGTTGTTATTGCTTTGGTGCAACCGAGTGGGCCGTTAAGGGAGTTACTGAGTAAAATTTTGGTCGGCCATGAGTTCAGTGGCGTTGTACACATCCAAACACACGCATATCTGTACATATTCATACACACATTCATAGTTGTATATGCATGGATGTACATATGTCTATAAGTTTAATTATGTGCGTTCGTGTGGCTGTGCGTGCGGCTACATTTTAATGGCAGACAAAATGCTTGTGCCAGGATTTTAATTAAGATGATGTTAGTGTAATAGGTTAGAAGAAGAGTCGCTGGCAAAAGTGTAGGTCGAAATTTTTGCTAATGAAGAAACAGTTTTAGAATTTTCACTAATTGGCAAAAGTGGTTAAGTTGTGGGTGGACGGCCTACGATGGCATAAGGGGGAATGCTAAACGAGTTGCACGTATAACGGTTGGTGTGTATCTTACATACATATGTATGTATGTATATTATCTGATGGATTGTTGGAGGATGAGAAGTGAGACCTGAGACGCCAAGTTAATTAAAACGGACAGACAGATGGCATAGACCGTTAAACTCACAGACGTTATTAGCATACATATGTACATACAAATACATGCAAACATATATATGCAGATAGACCAAGTAAGTGCCGTTAACCCCCCTAAGTTGAGTTATACCCGACGGCGCTAAAGAAAATCCAAAGTAATCGCAAATACTTATTTGACCTAAGACTAACTAATTTCTACCGTTGTTATTGTAGTAACCATTGAAAGAGAGCGGGTTGAAGATCGGGGCAAGACAACTCCAACCGTGCACGAAGCTCTCTGGATGGCCAGCTGCTTGTAACATTTGTTTGCAGATTTTTTTTCCAAAACTTCGCCCCGGGCCCGGTTTTCTCGCTACGGCCATGGACTACCAGTATGAACAACATCGTAATCCATCCTCTATGAGAGCGTGTTTCAAAGCGCGTTCCTCGACATGAATTAGGAGCTTTCTGACCTATGGTTCAGGCATACTTTCATACATATGTATGTAAGTATTTGCCGAACTCATGCATAGGAACGATAAGTTAGCAGATAGAGTTGGCAGCAAACTTTAGAAAAAGAACTAACACACATTTACGGTTATATTTTTCACGCAAGTGTGGTTTATGTTCCTACTATGCACTGTTAGCAATTTAAATACTTTTACACTATGGTACAAAAGTTATCAGCAATTAGCTAAAAAAAACAGTTTGTCGTATTATTATGAGCCCAATTCAACATTTCTAGTTTAGACACTTTAAGTACTAATAACTGTTTAACCGCAAGAATTACCAATTGACAACATTTTTAGTTGGAAATGTTTAGAACCTCAGCATTAGCAACACATACAGATTGACATTTCAGAAACTGAGGACCTAGTTCGTGTTTTTACAAACTAGGGATCATTTTATATATCATATATTTTATAGGGTCCCTGATGTTTCCAAACATCGTGCCAAACTTAATCTATGCTATAAAGGCCCGATCTAAACAATTTCTTCTAAGATTGCAGCGAGTATCGGTATACTATATAAAAATATCACTCTACTTAAACAAGCTTTCCATACAAGGACTTTATTTTGATTGCTTGGTTTGTATGGCAGCTATATGTCATAGTTTTCCGAAATCAACCATTCCGACAAATGAGCAGCTTCTTAGCGAGAAAAAGACGTGCGCAAAATTTGACATCTCAGAAACTGAGGACCTAACTTGCGTATTTATAGACAAACGGGCGGACATGGCTCATCACGCTGATCTTTTTATATGATACATATTTTATAAAGTCTCTGATGTTTCCAAACTTCGTGGCAAACATAATCTACCCTCTTCGGAGTATACAAAAGCATATACAAAACGAAAACTTTTGTCTAACAGTGTAGACTGTAGTCGATTGCCACAAACAGCTGTTTTTAAAGCAAACGAGCCAGTGTGTATGGCCGACGAAACCAAACTGTACGTTTTGTTGTTGTCGCTCATGACATGATAGTGAGCACACACGAATTCAGGGGCCTAGTCAGTCGATTTTTCAGCAGGAAAACAGTAAGCGCCAGTAGCTGCTTTGTTATTGTAACATTTCAATATACTTCCCCTTTTCACATAACAGCGATTTGTTATTGCATATGCAAAGTGATGCTTGCTGTTTGCAGAATCACAGAGCAACGCCCGCCAAAATATTGTGAGGTTATGTGATGGGAGATAATGAAATGTGCGAAAGAGCAACGCAGCGCAACTAAATACGAACGAATATGTAAACACAAAACCAGTTGTGCGCTGTGAATGTGAAAATGTATAGTTTGCGGAAGCCATTGCCGGCGTCTGGTTGCGAGATTGCGCCGAAATAGCATAACCGCACTATATAGCTGTCGCGCTCGTGCACGCGGGCAACAGACGTAACTGACAAATTGGGTGCGTTTTATTTGCACTGCAGCGCACGAAGTGTTGTATGTTTTCACTCAGCGGCGCTGTGCTGCATTTGTTGTTCGCCTGTTGCTCAAAACCGTTTTTCATACAAGGACATTGCCATTGCGCATTGTCGTGTAAGCGAGGGCTGCCGCAACTGCAAACTCGAGCGGCAAACTGC